GGGTGGGTAGTTGAGTGGGTAGGTGAGTGGATGGGTAAGAGTGGGTGGATAACTGAATGAATGGTTAGCGGGTAGACGGATGATGGGTAAATAAGATTAAATGCAGGGAAATATGGCAGAAATGGGAATATATCTTGATTCCAACAGCCTCTACTCTAAGAGAAGTCAGAATCAGGAAGGTCAAATAGTTTGTCTCACTTATGTGAGGACACTGGGATTGACCTATGTGTTCAGGTTAATGCAGAAACCCGGGAGCTATAACCTGGATGACCCTTGAGGAGAACCAGGGCTCAGCAGGCCATGGGCAGCCCTGGCTGAAGGCTTCCCAGCCCACCCTGATCCTGGGCTCACCAGGCCGTGCCGCTGAGGGCATGAGAGCCGCAGGCTATGGCCAAGGAGCCTGAGCCCCTCAGGTCCCCAGAGCACCTCAAATTTAGGGGTCATCCAGAGGCCACAGGAATCTCTGTCCCGTGATGTCTGCCTGTGTCCCCCAGCCAGGATCCGGAACTTAGGAGGGTTTAAGGAGTGGTGGAGTCTCAGGACTGAGACCTGGGAAGAGTGTGTGAGTATGTATGTGAGTGTGAGTGTGTGTGTGAGTGTGTGTGTGTGCGTACGTGTGTGTGTGTGTGCGTGTGCATGTTGAAAGGGATTGCTAGTGTCAGGCCCACACACACACTCCCTTTCTTGTCTGCTTACACTTGGAGACAAATGAAGATAAAAAACAACAGACACACCATGTCCCCCCATACACACCCTCACACCCTCACACAGCACAGAGAACAGACCCGCAGCCTTGCCAGGAGTGTGTGGGGGGCAGCACAGCCACACACACACACACACACACCACACACACACATGCGAGCCCATGAGGTTTAACAGACACCTGCAGCCCACAGGCCCGCAGGAGCCAGGCAGGGGCCCTGGGAGAGGCGGGTGCCGTGGGCGCGGATGCTGACACAGCTCAGAATGAAGACCAATGAGGCCCTTCCAGAGCCTCCCCGTGGGCCCACAGCTCGTTCATCTTCATTGACTCTGCGGAGGTTCTGGACTTTACCGGCACAGGGGATGGAGGGTAGAGTCATCAGTCCTGCGGCACCCAGTTACCGTCACCCCAGCCAGCCCGTCTGCTGCCCCAGGCAGGGCTGTCCTCAGTAAGAGCCCCTCTCCCCCTGCCCACCAGGAAGCTGTCTTTCTCCAGGAGACCCAGGTAGTGAGGGGGGGAACCTGCCCCCCGCAGCAGAGAGGGGGAGGGGCTCGGGCAGAGTGGGGGTGAGGACTGTGGACTCAGGCCTCAGGAGGCGTGGCCTCTGCGCCCTCATCTGCTGCCTGGGGTGCTTCCCTCCGGAGCCTCGGGTGACAGGCAGCTGAGCAGAAGGGGCGCCTGCCTGTCCCCCAAGAGAGGAGCAGAGGCTTTGGGTTCCCAGGCCGGGGCTGGGGGCTGGGGTGATGTGCATGCTGTGCCGTGCGCATGGAATTCGGGCTCGCAGTGAGTTACAGGGCAGGTGGCTGCTCTCAGTGCGAACCACCTCATGGTCCCCCTTCCCCTCTCTGACTCCCTCCTCCAGATCAACTTTGTGTTTCTGTTCAACATCGTCAGGATCCTAATGACAAAACTACGAGCATCCACCACGTCAGAGACGATCCAGTACAGGTAAGTGATCCAGTACAGGTAAGTGACCCCCCCCCCCGTCCCCCGCAGGGAGAAATGGAGGCCAGGTGGGCCCTGCACCTGCCTCTGGGCAGGGTCCTCTCTGTCTCCCCCGGGAGCTCTCGCCACCCAGTGAGGCCCCACCCGCAGTGTTCCCCCCACTCTCCCCCAGGAAGGCGGTGAAGGCCACCCTGGTGCTCCTGCCGCTTCTGGGCACCACCTACATGCTCTTCTTGGTCAACCCCGGGAAGGAGGACGAGCTGTCGCATATCGTGTTCATCTACTTCAACTCCTTCCTGCAGTCATTCCAGGTGGGCGGTCACACACATGGGACAGGTGCACATGTGGGTCACTTGAGTACACACTCAAATATAAGTGTGCACACACTGAACCCCACCCCAGAGCCCAGGTGGGCCCCCCCCCCGACGGGGTCTGGGCGCCCAGCTGGCACCTACTGCTAGCCCAGCACCTGCTCTGTCACACCTGCACCAGGAGGGGTGGCCCCAGCTCTGAGCCTCTGGGGTCCTGGGTCAGAGTGTTCCCCGGCCCCCTGGCCCCCTCCAGGCCGGGCGATGCCCACGCAGACCCCTGACCACCCTCCCTCCTTTCCAGGGCTTCTTCGTGTCTGTCTTCTACTGCTTCTTAAACGGAGAGGTATGAGGCCGGGCTGGGGACCTCACACCCACTCCGGGCGGTTCCCACAGAGCCGCCCAGCCCCTCAGGCCTGCCAGGTCCCTGGCTCTGCTCAGCTCCACAGTGGAGAAGGGGGGAGCATCTGGAAAACCGCCCAGCCTTGGGGGTGACAGGAGGGCTGCCTGAGGGACCCCTGCAGCGTAAAGGTCAAGTATGCAGCCAGGAACAGCTGAGTCTGTGCCTCTCCCGCAGGTGCGCGCAGCCGTGAAGAAGAGGTGGCACCGGTGGCGGGACCATCACTCCCTCCGAGTCCCAGGGGCCATGTCCATCCCCACCTCACCCACTCGGATCAGCTTCCACAGCATGAAGCAGACGGCCGCTGTATGACCCTGCGTGTCACCCACTCGCCCGTCACTCCCGGGTCAGTCGAAATAGCTTCCCCGTCCTCCTCCAGTGCCCGTGCTTACCCGAAGCCCAGATGGGGACGGAGGGAGGGAGGGAGAGACCAGCTCTCCAGCCTGTGCAGCCCAGGGGGCTCTGCGGGACCAGGGCCAGCCTGGCCTGAGCGGAGCGGAGAAGTCGAAGGAACCCCGAGGAGAGCAAGGTGGTGGGGGGCGGGTCCGCAGGCATTTGTGACACCAGCCTCACAGAGATCCATGGAAGCCCCGCTCACCAATGAGAGACTGAGGCCCAGGCGGAAGGACCAGGGCCGGAAGGACTGCCAAGTCCCACAGCTCGT